AAAATCTGTTTCAAGCCATTAGTCATGAGTAGGTGTCTATAATAAGACCATGAAAGCCAACATCCCTGCCTCATTTGCAAAGACACGATGACTTTAATTTAAGGCCTTGCCTTGGTAATCCCTCCTTAGCTGGAGTTTCACGTTCCCACTACTGTGTGCAACACAACACTAGCAGGCTTGAGACCTTCTACCCCAAAGCTCACTGCATTTCAGAAGTGAAGCACCATTATGCCAAGACCATTATAAAGTATTTCTCAGTGCTCATGACACGTTATATTAATGTAAGGGATTAGGGGGATTTACTGTGGTAGTACCTAGCACTGACAGTACTCGGCATTTAAAGAATATCAAATGCAGGCATTGCCAAGAGGCTTTTAACTCCACTGCCAGCAGTGCTAAAAAAAGACAAAGCATTTGGTATCTGCCAGTGGTTTTGCTACTAGTTATGGAAACCAGAACAAACTGAATAAACCCTGACATCAATGGCTTGGAATGAAAACATTTTAGGGCACCTAAAACCAACTACACCCTTTTGTGTCTTTCTATGCAAGTCATTTGTGGAACCTCCTTGAGCAGCACTGCAGGTCAGTTCCTCAGAGCCTCACCAGGCAACAGAAGGCCGTGTGGATTGTGGAGGAGCATCAGCAACTGAGGTATGACCTCAGTGAAAGGGAAATGGCTTTGTGAGATGGCTGACCAAACTAAGTTGCAGCTACTGGTAGTGCTGGGTTAGTGGTTGGACTAGATCATCTTAAAAGTCTTTTCCAACCTGAAAAAATTCTGATTCTACCTGAGTTACTAAGGTACTACAGTATGAAACAACTCAAGTATTACACTGATTTGTCACAATTTCAGAAGTGATAGAGTTGTCCTGTTTTTCCATCACAATCTGTTCTGGCTCCCAGCACTTTCCATCTGCAATTACCAGACATAAAACAGGTGTTCACAGCAGTCTCCCACACTGAACTTTACCTCCATTTTGGAGATGGCATAATGTCTGCACTGTGGCTGGGAAGAAAGAGGGGCTTTTACTAAAGAAAGCAGAGATGTTCCTAACTAACAAGCATTATCAGTCCTTTGTGTCTGTCATCTCAATTTTAAGAACCTTAGAGAGGAAATTGTGGAAAGAAAAAATGTCAAAGAGAAAATGAGATTTTAGTGAGCAACTTTCTAACTGGCACAAGACTTGATTGGCATGCAAGGTGCCACAACACATTCCTACTCAGAGAAAATTCAACCAAAACTACTGGGTTCCTCTCACTTCAGCCTTTCTTGAAAGCTGTGCTACATTGCTATCAGGTGGACAGCTGCCTTCTTATAAATAGCTGCTCTTTCACACACAGAAAATGGCAGATGTGAGACCCCACCTAAACCATTCATGCTGTGTTTTCACCCTTTCTGTTTGTTTGCATTTGCTTTTCCAGAGCAATTCTTGTGTTGCTGTTTCCTCACTGCCTTGACCCTGTTCTCTACAACCGCTTATGCTAGAAAATATTTTGTGAGCTCAGATCAGATATGGCACTGAGAAGTCTACTGCCTCCAACATATTAAGCACAAGGCAGCCCAACCATCTGGAAAATACAGATAAGCCTATGAACTCATTTCATAGAAGGCTATATTTTGCCCTTTGACTCAAGAATGTACCAAAACCTCTTTGAAGACAATGGGAAAAATCACTGGCATGGAAGAGCTAAAATTACACTGGCAGTTAATGGCCAACCCAATCTTTTTGATTGTGCAGCATCTTTCAGTCCTTTAAAGGATGTGCAGGGAGGAACCAGATGTGTTGAGAGAGAGAATATCACAAAACAACAAATTAACACTGAAGTCAGGTTTAACAAATTAGCAAGTGAGGAAAGATGCCAACAACTGGCTAAGACATTCCCTGCTTCATGGTGAGGAACTACAGCAAGGTCAAAACAGCTAATGACTAGGAAGGATTTTGAGTTTGCCTTGGCAAGGAAATGCTTCGTAGAAGGCACTGAGGATCCTGTGGTTTCTACAGACTGAAGTGATTCTTTGTTGGCCTGCCCCTGGGAATCTCCCAGTCTTTGCTGGAGAGAATATGGGGTGGAAAAGGTCTTTTCCCAGTATTTCTGATCAGAACATTGGATAAACCTCTTAACACTGGATAAACCCCACAACAGTCAGCAAAGCAGTTCCATGAAGTCTTACAAATACACTTGCCTAGACCAGAAACCTGTATATTCAGACTACAGCTCCTGGAAATCTCTAGAACTGTATGAGAACATACAGTGGCTTTAACAGTGTGTGCTTAAAACAATCCCATGCCCATCATTTTTAAGGGCCTACAAATCCTCCCAGCATGTAATATTGTTAAAATTAATGCCTGTAAATAAAAAAGGAGAAAGCACTGAAATGACAGACTTAGAATAGTAATAAATGGACATTAGTAATTAACAAGGTAATAAAGGCTTCAATGGGATTAGGAAAAGAAGAAGATAGAGCAAAATCTCTTTCAGCTGATTACTTAGCTACATTTAAGGATATTAAAATATATAAATAAATAAATAAATAATTGAACACATTAACAGGGTGTCAGAACTTAGCTTCAGGTGAATTTGAAACAAAGCAGAGCAGCTGGAAATTCCCCTTCAGACAAAGATGTGTCAAAGACATATCTGCCTGATTAGCAGGAGATTTTCAGATACCACAGAGGAGTGTAAGCAGCCATATGAGAATCTGGTGAAAGACTAGTGTCTGAGAAGAAAATCGTCATTAAAAGGAAAGTTTGGCCATTAAAATTCTAAAAACAAATGTTTTCAGTAAAGAAATACCAGTCTCCTGAAACTACTGGAATAACTCAAAGGAGAAAATGACCAGCCCCAAATGTAGTATCTGTGTGTGGACACACAAACTAAATGTCAGCATTAAATATTTCAATGTGGTACACTTCAAAAGACAGAGCTATAAAGGATGGTGGATTCTGTATAGAAAATATTTAAGGAGAGTAGAGAAATGGGTAATTAAATGAACACACAAGTTAAAACAAAGGTACAGCTGGAAGGAAAAAAAAAATAAAAATAAAAGGAAAGAGACTGCAGCAGCCAAAAGACAAGCTTGATTCCTCCCCTTCCCACACACATGCTGAACAGCTCACACAATAAAAAACAGCAAAGTCTGTTAGCCCACAAAAGCCAGACCCTGGGCTTGATCTGGGCCAACTACCAGAATGTCTCATGTACTTATAGCTACTGACAGAGGGGAAACCACAATCCAAACACACAGACCTGAGCTCACTAGCCTAACTGAAAGTGGAGGCAAGAAGTCTCCATCCCTCTCCTCCTTGTGCAGTAAATTGCAGTGCTGAATAAACACCCTGGGACCACACACTCCCTCAGCACAGTGACATCTCCCTTATTTCTCTGCAGTTCGTCTGGGGCTATTATTGCTTTATTTTGTTTGATGTTCTCCCTCTGTTGAGAGAAAGCATGAAGAGAGAAAAGAAAAAAAGAGAAATCTGTCTGTCTTTCAACTTCCTAATCATCTTCCTCAAAATGCTTCATGCATCAGCACTGATTTCATTATCTGCCTGCTGCTAGGGATTTTATTTAAAGAATAACACACAAGGAAGAAAGGATTTAACCTGACCTCCCTGAACTGCTGGGGGATGAATACTACACAGAGCTGACAGTGAAAAGCTCATTTCCTTTCTCAGACTAACTCAAAGACTATGCAAAATTCCCCTCTATCCAAGCCTCCAGTTTTAAATTGGGCTATCAAAGGCTTTTCTTTTTTTGAGGCCTGGGTTGATGTAATCAGTGTATCATCAATGAATAAGGATTGATAACATGAACCATCAGAAAGCATAGCTGTGGATACAGTGACTCTCAGAGGCAGAACAATAAGGAAAATTGAGTAAATTAAAACCAATGTTCTTCTATCCACCTATACCAAGAATATAATAAAAACCAGTAGGGGCCACCCTTTTTTCCCCCACTGCATCAGTACAGCATTCATCCCAAGTCTTTGGGGTGTTACGTAGTACAGATCAAGTAGGGTTAATACATGAAAAGGTTAGTGGGAAAAATGCAAGGGTATAATCAAGAAATAGTAAAAATATCATGGACAGAAAGATAAATGAATCGCAGAGCAGGATACAGTCAGGACCTTTTAGCAAGCACAAGTATGGGATCCCATCCAATGGAAGGGGCAACCCAAGGTGACTTAAATGAAATCTGTCTTGGACTGCATAAACAATTTCTTATCCAGAAGGTCCAGAGTTGTTGATGCAGCTGTGTCTGGGATGATTCCCCAAGCTCTCATGGCAGCTCTGCATTTTGTCCACCACATGCTCCTGCAGAGTCATTTATCTCTCTAAGAGTGATTAATGTATAATTCTGATATTTTATTTTGGGAAATAGGCCATCTCTTTCTTCCATTCCTGAGACCACTCACAGTAGCCTATTTTCAAAAAGCCACGTTTACAAATTTATGCAATATAAGCAGAACACGAAGATAGCAAACCAGGCCAAATTAAGGAAGGGAAACATAACATGATCACCCTCTTTATTAAAAAACTCTGCTTTTTAAAATCTAACCCAACTGAATTCAATTACCCTAGAAAATTTCTACCAGCTGTTGACAGAGTTCTAGGTCCCCAATATCACCAAAAGGAAAAAATCAAATTATGCTCAACAGTTCTCTGATAACTAAGTTTGCTGCCAAAAACTTCCTGTCCTATTCTAAATGCCAGCATCCTCACAGTCTCCAAACACACTTGCTGACAATGCTGAATATTTTTCTTGTTTGTATCCATCCTTCTACATTTGCAGGACCAAAATCTCTGTATGTGGTGGTAAAATTGGCTAAAGCAATTCATTTTTCTTTCTCTCACCCACATCTGAACGAGGAACATGAGATTCCTGCTTGCATTTCTTACTGCTGCCACATCATCAGTCCCAGTGAGCACAAGGTCCTCCTGGACTCCCATATTCCAGAGGCCAACATGAAAAAAGGCCATGGCATGCCTGGCTTACCTGATCCTCGGAGAGCTGTGATATGTGATTCACTGCAGCATAAGACTCTATCTTCGGGTTGAAGTGATTGATGATGGCTCTGAAACAAAGGAGGGAAATTTTCAGAGGTTTCAGGAACATCTTAGAGATGCAGCAGAAATTCCATGCCAGTCTGAGCAGGTGCACATGGAGCCAGTTCTGCAAGAAATTCCTCCTTCACCACAAGTATTGTTTGCTTTGCCAAAGGCACGCTCCCTGCTGAGGCCAATGTGGGTCCCAACACAAGCTCACTGGCACAGGCACTGTCCTACACATGAGTGCATTTGTCCCACCACACACTGGACTGTGCTTGCTGCTCTGGCAGGGGGAGTTGCTGGAAACAGGCTGCAAATTGCTCTGTGTTCCAGCAGAACAACAGCAAACCTGGCCATCACTGCCCCATCCTGCTCAGGGAACTTCAGCTCCTCAGTATTGCCTGACATTTTGTGGAACTTTGCTACCTGTTATGATGAAATTGATGGTTTATTGCTTTGGACTTTCACTCAGTTTAAAATGCTGTAGCTAGCTCTTACCTGTAGTCATCTATCATCTATCACTACAACCACTACATTTTGAATTCTTACCATAATGACTTCAGTCCTCATCTCCAGTTTAGATCATTAGAGATAACTCATGTCAGTGTCCCAAACACAGCTGCAAATACTGGTCACTCCTGTTCCTCTGCCTCATTTCTCTCACAAGCTGCAGCAATCTGCACCACTCCCTTTCCCTTCTAGGTGGATCTAGAAGCAGATGTGAGAAATCTAAAATTGAAAGTAAAATAACAACTGGGGAAAAACACCCCACCAAACTGCAGCTGGAGCATTTCCTCAGCCTTCCTTCTACCTGTCAGGTGCTGCTGCGAAGACGAACAGCAGACAGTAAAGATTCCCTGGGACAGAGTCTGCAACTGCTCTAGTTGGGATATTACTCATCAGACCCACTGCTGAGGTCAATATTCATCATGGGAGCTGGTCATGCCAGCGCTCGGCACAGATGAGTTCTGACTGTGCCTGGAGAACACTTGCTCAGCCAGATTACACTGCAGCAGCAGTCAGGGCTTCCACTCTCATATTCATCAGCATGGAAATTCAATCCAGTTCTCTCCGTTGTACTCTAATGGGTTCTCTCCTCCCCACTCCTCCCTCTGCAGAAGGACTTTCAGCTGCTTTCTCCAGACCTCATCACAGCTAAGAGCTTGTGCCCCAGTCTAGGAATACGTGATATTCAGTGGTGCCAATTAGAGTGAGTGGATAAAAACCTACCTAGAAGCATCCTTACCTCTTTAAATACACAGATAAAGAGTGTGGAAGGTGTGAAGAGTGGGAGTGGGGGGAAAAATAAAAACCAACCCAAAAAAACTGAAACAACCCAAACAGAATCTGCAATTCATAGACTCCAAGATTGTTTCAGTTGTAGGGGAACCTTTAAGGCTCACCTAGCACAGCTCCCCTGCAATGAGCAGACATAGCTTCAACAAGATCAGGTTGCTGAGAGCTCCATCAAACCGGACCTTGAACGTCCCCAGTGAAGGGTCATCCACCCTGTTCCAATGCCTCACCACCCTCATTGTTTAAAACTTCTCATATATAATCTATATCAACCCTCCCAGTTAAAACCATTATCCCTGTCCTGTTGCAACAAGCTCTGATGAAAAGTTTTTCCTCAGCTTTCTTCTAAGTCCCCTTTAAGTACTGAAAGGCCACAATAAGGTCTACCCACAGCCTTCTCTTCTTCAGCTCTCTCAGCATGTCTTCATGGAAGGTTCCATCCCTCTGAACACTTTCATGGCCTCCCCTGCACTGGCTCCAACATATCCATGTCTTTCCTGTGCTGAGGACACTAGAGCTGGACATTGGAGCCCAGGTGAGGTCTCAGAGAGCAGAGCAGTAGGACAGAATCATCTCCTCACCTTCTTGCCTGGGTTACCTTCACTGCAACATTCCCAGCCACACCTCATCACACACCAGCTGCCAGTCAGCACACAGGGCCAGTCACTCCTGCAGCTGCTCCTACAGCATCCATACACACTTGGCACAAGAGGACTTCTGCCTTCTCACCAACCCTGACAGTTACTTCCAGAAAACAAATACAGCAGTGCCTCTACCAGGCTTCCCATGACCCTCTTCCCTCTGGAGAAGGACAAACACACAGGCTGAGACGTGCCCAGACTCTTCCCATTTCAGTGTGACCAGGGTCACAATCACACTGTCCATTACCCAGCCTCTCCAACATTCTGGTTTTCAAGCTGTGTGTTTCATGCCTGGCTGGAGTCATACTTATACTCCTACAGGACACACTGCAAGTTATTGAAAGAAAAGGGAACACAGACTTACAACAACTTAACTTCTGGCTTGACAGAAGGTTTGGCAGCTCAGATAGGTTCAGTGCACTCACATGGTTCCAACATTTACCAGGGAACAGATTTAGCATTTATTTGTATCCACTGAAGTGCTGTGAAGCACTTCAACATGGGCTGCCTGCTCACAAGTCCCTGCTTGGATCTGAGCTAGTGGAGCGGCACCTGCAATCACAGCTGGGATTCACCCAGTGAAAGCAAAACCAGCAACCAGCTGCCACTGCAGTAAGAATCAATAGATATAAAGGAAGGAAAAGAATTCAAGTCTCCTTCCTCTTTTCCCAAAAGGTGAATGGACAACTCCTCAGTGATTAGATGAAGTTCAGCTGTTTAATTTGTTTTAACTATGAAGAATTTCTCCCCAATCTGACCATCTGTAGAGCTGTTTCCCTGAAACTACAGGCATCCTGGGGCAGGGAAGCACGAAGAGCTTGGATTCAATCCTGGCTCTGCGTAGCCAGCTTCTTACTGCCCAACAAATCCACCAGGGCCAGGCTTTGCATGGTGCAGCTCCTTCTCACTCATCTGCTATGAGAAATTCCATTGCTATCCAGGCCAAAAAGCATCTTTTTGCATCAGCTGCTCTCATACATCTCTGCTATTCTTCCATCTCTCAAAATTTATCTTGTCCCTGGGGCATGTTTTTAGCAACTGGCCTCCTGGGATATTCACTGATTATCAGCTGGAATTCACTTCGCAGCGATGCTTCACTGGCATTTGATCCTGGAGACAATGAGAGACCAGAACTTTGAAACACAGTCTCCCTAGTAAAGACCCAGTGGTTCTGCCACCATTAGTTCCCACTACAGCACGTAACAGCTGATCCTTGGCAGTAATTTATTTTTACACTGTGATTGCCTCAATTACTACCACACCAGCCAGTAGCCTTGGGAAGGGGGAAGGGAGCAGTTAAAGCACTCAGAAAAGATTTGTGATGATGCGTTCTACTGAGATCTTCATATTGATCATGGGGAAAAAAAGAAAACCCTTGTGTTTGGTATTCATGAAGCATGAACATCTTCAACACATTTGTAAAGCAAGGAAATGGTGAAGTGTCAACTGAAAGACAAAATGCTGCAGTTCCCACATAGCCTTCCATAGTACGTGCACTTAGGTGTTCCACACTGCCAAGTCCCTCGGTGGGGCTGGCTGCCATTTGTCACACAAATTTCACAGCACTTGTGGGACACAATTCTGCAGGGACTGAGAGATGTCACTTCAGGAACACTGCCTCCTCTGACAGATCCACAGTTCATCAATGAACTGATAAGAAGAGACTGCCACTGGACAAAGAAAGGATGCTGAATAAGCAGAAGGCTTAAGAACTAAAAAACTGGCTCCCAGCATTTTGTCTTGAGGTTAATGCTTACAGCTCTAAGACAGATCACAAGCCATCTCCACATTCTTTATTCCTCAGTCTCCTGGGAAGAGATGTTGATCTCCCAGTAAATACATGAGGCATACCAGTTGTCTACAAAAAACACACATCTCACATCACTTCTTCATGCAGCTGTTCAAGATACCTACACACCATGATGCCAGAAACATGCAGGGACACATATGAATGAACCTGCACATTTCTCAGGAAGAACAACCTGGGACACTTGCATTTAAGGATGTTGCATTTATTGTGTATTTATTGCTTTCATTTAATTCTTCATGAAGAAGAGAATAATTGCAGGAAAAATCACCCTGGTTTAGAAACCTCAAAGTGCAGATGAATCATTTATTTGTACTAGTTGTATCAATCATGTTATTAGACAGTAAAAGCAGGTCCCACTGTAACAGGTATTGTACCAATCCAGAGTGGTGGAAAGCCTCTGTCCCAGGGGCTAGGGATCTCAAATGCATGAAAACAGGGAAAGCACAGAAAAGTGCACTGGCAACAGAATATGTAACAGTGCTGCTACTTAATGAGCATCACAAAACACTTCAGTTTGAGACAAAGTATGGATAGGAAAAACACAGAAAGAATACTGAAGGAAGAAGCAGAGAGATAGGGAAAAGGAGATAGAAGGACAGATAGGATCAAGATAACCAGAGGTGAAAAACTGCAGAACAGGGAGGATCAGAGAAACAGCAACTGATCCCAGGGCAGTCTGTCCTCTGCAAACTGGAAAGCTCCAACTGGTAGAAAGTTCTACTTTGGCTATTCTTGAGGCTGCAAAATTTGGCCAGTCCTGAAATGACTGTTAGTTGCCCCTTCTCCCTCAAAAACACATTTGGTGGAAGGTGAGAAGCAGAGGAATCTCTGTGGGGGCCCTACTGGCTTTTTTGTTCCACACAAAAAAGGGACATCACACTGTGTCTCTCACCTAGAGCTGTGGTGAGAGAAGGAATCCCCCCAGGTAAGCTGCATTCCTCTCCGCTCACTGTGTTCACTGCAACAGGACTCGCTTCTGTGGTGGCTGCAGTAGCTCTCCAAACAACAACATTTATTTATAGTCTTTAAAAACTGCCTCAAGTTACTCCTTGATAAACAGAAACAACCAGTGCTGGCCTGCAGAGAAGCCCAGAGTAAAAGAATTTCTGAAGAAGCAAAGTTTGCTGACTGGAAAGGGCTCCTATGAAAACTAATATGGCATGTATGGAAAGAAAAGGTTTAATTAATTCCTCAGTTTAATCTGCCACTAGTTGTAACATCAGATGTGAGACATGAAACACATCAGCAACACGAAGGTACTGGTCCCACAATTAACAGG